GAGGGGGGTAGAGAGGGGGTGGGGTGGGGTGGGGTGGGAAAAGATTTAGAATTGGGTGTAGGTTAATCAGTCAATTCAAGGTTAACTTTGTTGGCGTTGCTAAGCTTTTTATTCATATTACTCTTGTGAGAACACAGTAGGCAATTGCAATAGATAATTGTATGAAGAAAGTTGATCCTACCAGCTTTTTCATACTGGATGATTGGAGCTGCTAGTTGTTTATTAAGTAATATATTTAATTAATCGCCTTTGTTTGATGACATTTGTTCCATAAGTTGGTGGGAAAATGCCCTTCGCTTCTTCGTTAATCTATGCAATTGTATTATTTCAAACACAAGTCCCTAAGTCGCTATTTCTTTCATGAAACTCTAAATCAATATCAATATTGCAATAAGGAATGGTCAAATTACCAACAGCCTAGTTCACTAGGAATGAAGAGACAGGTGATCATTATCATTTAAGATTTCACAACCCCAAAAGAACTTACATCTAATCTAATCGGATTTATCCATATAAGTGAAGTTGTTTATAATAAATTCATATTTATTTTCTAATGGGGGGGGGGTGTGCGATAGACTTACCTCCACGTGGTACACCCTGGGCAACGCATACTCATACGGCAAAAAAGTCTATTAACCGGCAGTTGACTTCTGACTTCAAACTACCAAGACCCCACCGCATTTCATATTCGACTAATTCCACAGTACTCACCTTTTTTCTACCTTTGTGTCTGTCTGTCTCTTTTACGTCTGTGAATCATTATTCTATCCGCCCTCTCGACTTTTTGCCACTTTGGTGTTCCTCTTCCTTTCTGTGAAGCACGAAGTCAACTAAAGGGCTAATGATACCTATCATAACGCCTGCCATTTGAAATAAATCAATAAATTTTCTAATGGAATACAAAGCAAGAAGCTTAGATGGGAGGGTGGGAGGGGGAGGATTATATGTTTTCTTATATGAAAATCAATAAGTGGTCATACTCTTCGCAGACAAGCTATTTTAACTGCGATACTAATGGAAACAGCATTTCACCTTTGGGGCACATGTCCTCATGTACCCATTTCGTTTTGACGTAGTTAATCTGAACAGTCTCAGAACATCTTTGATTAGAGCCAGTAAGAAGTGGTGTTAACAATGACAGTGGTTAATAGATTGGTATCAAATTTTAATAATTTCAAATAACCTGGGAGCACATGCTAACCAACTAATCTCAGACGAAATTCTTGTGTCGGATCATATCTCAAAATACTGAGCTAGATTGCTTTCAACAGTTATGTAATCAATTTCTAGACCATATAATACTTTAATGCCAATCTATCCTAATGTATTTAATCAGTTGAACATCTACCCGGAAGAAATAAGGTCTTATGGAAGATTGTACTCCTCGATATGATGGTGAAGTTAGTAGGAGTAATCAGTGTCACTCTCAAAGGGTCTTATAAGACGCAGAGAGTTAGAAAGCCAAAGCTTTTGCATATTTTCATTAAATATTTATTTATTTCAAATGGCAGGCGTTTTGCTAGCTATCATTAGCCCTTTAATTGACTTCGGGCTTCACAGAGGGAAGGTTCATCAAAGTAGCAGAAAGTCGAGGGGTGGGGAACAGAAGAGCGATTCACAGATGTAAAAGAGGCAGACAGACACA